AATGTTTGACTTAAACAGACTAAAATAATATAGAACTTTTTTCACTAAGATTCATATCCTTTTAAGAACAGGATTTGGAGTATGTTTGACACGGATTTAACTTTTTATAAAGGTATAGTAAATGTGCTGTGGAGAAAGTAACATTTTTAAGTTGTTGTAGAAAGTAGTTTCCTAGCACAATTTAAAAACAAATAGTAAAACAGTTGTGGCAAAACGTAAACTAAAGTTATAATATGAAAGCAAAGCAGCAAGAAAGCTATTTGAAACAAAACCTTAATTATAGATAAATGGCGATCCATAGGTTATCTTCTTCTTTAAATATTAAATAATCTATAATATACATTTAGGCTTCATTTGAGATAGTTTTCTTGCTACTTTCTAAATCAAATTTTAGTACAAAAATTTTTTTAAAGCAAAAAAAATAAAACAAAAACCAATGATAAAAAACTAAATAAAATGATATATGGAAGTTATAAGGACTTGTATTGATAAATCTTTTGCACGCTTTAGCACACCGTTGAATGACTCTAATGCATTTGCAGTCATTATACCATACATAAAGCCCCTATTATGGCTCAACGTCCATCTAGTGACATCGCAATCTATTAGCCATGGGTAGGCCTCCTTCTTCATGTTTTGAATATATGTCATGTATGTATACATGTACGTAGGTCATCTATATTTTCAGCTAAATACATCTTCTGGCACATGAACTCATTGTCAGATATGTCCATCCCACAAACGGCTTTCTTAAAATTTTCTACCATGTCATTTAAATAAGTGTGATTGGGGTGTCAATATTTCACCCAACCCGAAATCCACTGAAAAAATTTTGGGTTCAAGTCAACTCGTTTACTAGATGAGTCAGGTTCTAGTTTCATTTTGAAACCCGTTGCTAAAATTTGGTTGGGTTCAGGTTGACTCGAAAACCCAAAATGACACAAAAACATGTTTGCAACGTGATCCCAAACTCACGAGTCGCTCCCGTCCGCATGTTGTAGTGCTCGATCTCATGTCACGCCAAGTACCAGTAAGCCCTCCCACAGACCTGCACTCACATCAAGACTCTACCCTCCGCACAACAGTGCCAGTGAGACCTCCCGCAGACCCACACTTGCGTCCCGACTCTGCACGCACTCTGACTGCGCTCGTGTCTAGAATCTGTTGGTTGTATTTTGGGATTGCATGTAGGGTCAAGTTGAGTACATGTTTGAATTTGTGATACGTTTATAAAATCAAATCAGGTTTGGGTCAACCCATTTGAACCCAGGTCAAACCCGACCGAAAAACCCATTTTGACACCCCTAAATGTGATGTGCAACTTGTGAAAAAATATCCCTACAACCATGCACCAACTCTAAATGTCTATCTAAGATAAAACACAAGCCATCCCTCAATCGCATAATTAGAAGCATGTTATGCAAGCATTCTAGGAACCAAGACTAAGATGTGTTATATTCATATTCAACAAATGCAAGAGGGAATAAACTATTATTTGCATCAAGAACAAGTGCAATTAGTAGTGTTCCACAATACTTCCCAAGCAATAATGTATCATCCAAACTTAAGACTGGCAGACAAAACATCCAACCTAGTATGCTAGGCCCAAAAGCCCTAAAATTTACTTAAATATGTGTGAATCATAGCAATATAACATGTATATTATGTCAAGCATGGCTGAAACAACAGCATCCATAAACAAATTTACAGTTCATAAAGGCTCCTACAAACTATAAAAAATAACTCTTATTGCATTTCTTCTTGCATCTCAAGCTTTTATGTAAGACACCAAGAGAAGTTGAAGCACCTAGTCGCCGAAATAGTTGGATCGCTGGTTGCTCATGAGGAAAAGTAGAGCATTGGAATAGTGACACCTTTTTTTTATTGGAAAGAGAGTTATATTTTAAAAAATAATAAAAAAATAAAAGATTTTGAAAACACATTCCAAAAAAAACCTCAAACTGTCACTTTGGGTTTTTTTGAATATAAATTATTGATAATATCAAAGGCTGTTACAAAAGGCGCTGTGATTTTTTCGCTTTACTAAGGTTTCCTAGTTTGCTTGAGATCTCCTTCTTCCCCGATGGGGGGTCCCCCCATGTCCGACTCCAACTTCCCCCCTCTACCGTCTTCCTCTTCCAACCCTTCTACCACTAGCTCGTTGCCTAAAGCTCTTCTCTTCTATAAGGATCTACTTGCTTCAAGCTCACAAGTTTCCACTGAGTTCTCCCGCTCCCTCTCCTTCCACCCCACCTCGGATAACACTGCCCAGTTCACCCATGTCAGTTTGTGGCTGGAGCTCCTGAATGGTCCCTCTCTTTGGTGGGCAATTCCATCGGCAAAAGACTGTTCTATGAGTCCCTTTTTGCTACCATTAAGAAGATCTAGACCCTCAAAGGTGATTTGTCTCTTCTCACCATGGACTATGATTTTTTCCTTCTAAAGTTCTCAAATTTGGAAAACTATGTGCATGCTTGGGCCGACAAACCTTGGTTCTTTTTCAGCAAGCCATTCATTCTACAAAAATGGATGCTAGACTTTGTGATGAATCATGAAGAATTCCCCTCCATTCCCCTCTGGATCAAGATTATGAATCTGCCGCTCTCCTACTGAACCCCTGAAAGTATCTCTAAACTTTCAAGTTGTGTTGGCATTCCTCTGGCTATTGATGCCCTAACTGCTGCAAAAACTAACCTAACCTTCGCCCGAGTATGCATCCAGATCACCAACTCCTCCTCCCTCCCCAATGAAATTTTTTATTGTGTAGATAGAAAAACCTCCCCCCTTAAGTCCTCTACGATTGGAAGCCAGAGCCTTGTTCACAGTGTGGATCAATAATGCACCCTTCCACCCTTTGTCGGAAGAATCTTATCCCTCAACCCCTGCCCACCTCCAAACCTGGAGGCCAGAGCACTAGCCGAAAGCCCCGTGCAACTCCACCTCAAAAGCTAAACATTCCCAAGCCCTCGCTTCCCCTCACTCTATAGCAAAGCCCTTCTATTCTAGACTCCTTGATTGGCCCTCCTCTCCCCAGAAACCCCCCCCTGTGAATCACATAATCCCCTACCTCAACTCCCCCTCTCAGAGGAATTCTCCCCCCAAACAACTCATTCACCCACCCATATAGTTCCCCCACCCATCAACACCAGTACAAATTTAATGCCATTTCCAAGCTAAATCCTTCGCTTTCATCCCCAATCCAACCATTGCCTCTACCTCCTCAAATCCTAACCACAGTAGCCCCCCACACACCTCCCCCCGTAACCACCAACCCAACACTCCCCTACCTGACACTTCAGAAACTACAGTCTCTTCCCATAACTCCTCTTCTTCTATTTAGCACAACCCTTCAACCCAAAAAACTATCCGAGCTAATTATGCCAAAAAGGCTACCTCCCACACCAAAAAATAATGAACCCCCCAAACTTGCTGTTTGAAATGTCTGTAGTTTCAACAGCCCCAAAAAAGTTTTATGTTGCAAAAGCTTGTCCAAACCCACAACATTGACTTCCTCTTTATTTTGGAAGCCAAAATCTCCCTTGCTCTTGCTAAAAACCCATGGTTTGTAGTGTCACACCGCATCTTCACTTCATTATTCCTCACCTGGTCGTATATGGATTAAATGGAATACTGCTTCTGTGGATTTCAAGAATTCCTTCTCCTCCTCCCAACTCATACATGGCACCGTTTTCATTACCTCTCTAGAGGTCTACACTGTCACTGTTGTTTATGATGCTAATATACACTCTGAAAGGCAGGTATTGTGGAATCAAATCATTAATTTAGCTGGTAACATCAATTCTTTCTGGATTATCCTTGAGGACTTTAATTGTTGTAGGATCCCCCATGATAAGGCTGGTGGCTCCCCTCTCTTAAGTAACAACCTTGCAGCCTTTAACCACCTGATCACCACTATTGGGGCTCACGACCTCTCTTATGTTGGTCACTTCTACATCTAGCATAATCAACAACCTGCCAACCATATCCACATTAAACTTGACCGTACACTTATCAATGACCACTGGCTCTCCACTTTTCCCAACTCCTACTATCGGGTTGATGATCCCCAATGCTCTGATTATTCACCCCACATCCTTTGTCAGGCTGCCGACCTTTCCAAGAAACATAGATTCATGTATAAAAATTATTGATCCAAATTACCTGAATTTTGGAGTTGTTTCTTTGAAGTTTTCTCCCACCAAAATAATAGTAGCCCTTTATACTCCTACTCCAAACTAAAAACCCTCAAGCACCATATCAAGACCAAGCAGTGGGCCAATTCTAATCTCATCCAAACTGAGATTAACTCCCTCACCTCTCCCCAAAGCTTCATCTTATCCCAAATCCAAAACACCCCTCTTGATCCTAACCTCAACGTTACTTTGAAATCAATCAACTCCAAGCTTTTCTGCTACCACTCTGCACTCTCCAGTTGGATGGCTCAGCGTGCTAAAGTCAAATGGCTCACTCATGGAGATGATGACCTAAAATTTCTCTACTCTAAGATCAATATTACCAAAAACCATAATATGATCAAAGATATCTCAACTGTTAATGGCCCTATCTCCTCCCAACAAGATATTTCTCACATTTTCATTCAATACTACACCTCCCTATTTAACCCCTCTCCCCCTTCCAATCCTAACCATTCCATTATTTCCCATGGTAATACTATCCCCAGCACACGGCTTCCTGGTCTCATTGCTCCTATTAATGTGGAAGAAATCAAAAGCATTATTTTCTTGGGCCACTCTTTTTCTGCCCCTAACCCAGATGGTTACCCTTTTGAGTTCTGTAAGACTACTTGGAACTACATAAGCTGCCAGCTTTGCACGGCTGTGATTCCCTTCTTCATCACTTATAATATGCCTAAGCAAGTCAAAGCGACGACCATTGCCTTAATCCCAAAGCACCCTCATGCTAATAATGTGAAGGATTTTAGGCATATCTCTCTTTGCAATGTCATCTACATAGCTATTGCTTAAATTATTGCCAATAGAATGAACCTTATGTTACCATATATCATCCACCCTAGCCAAGGTGGCTTCATTCAGCAAAGATTCATCTCGGTCAACATCGTCCTTGCTGCTGACCTTTTGGAGGATTTTAACAGGAATGCCAAAGAGAAATTTCTATGTGCCAAATTTGACATTTCTAAAGCTTTTGACACGGTCTCTCGGGAATTTATACTTCAACACCTTTATGATAAAAGGTTTCCTGATAAGTTTATTGACTGGATCAAAGCTTGCATCATGGATGTTCACTTCTCCATTTGCATTAATGGAGCTCTCGAAGGTTATTTCAACTCCTCCTCCGGACTGCGGTAAGGCTGCCCCTTATCCCCATATCTCTCTATATAGCCATGGATTCCCTCTCAACTAGCTTTGATCAGGCTACTTCCAATGGTAGTTTCTGTGGTATGGTCTCGAGTGCCTATTCAATATTCCACTTAATGTATGCTGATGACCTCCTTGTATTTGGGAAGGCTAGCATTGGTAATGCCCACTCCTTTAATGCCCTTTTGAAACAATTTGCTTGTCTCTGGGCTACAGTTAATCCTTCTAAAAGTTTTATTATTTTCTTTAAAAATAGCCCCCAAGCTACCCAAATTTATGAATACCTCAATATCAGCCAAACCTTTCCCCCCCCCCCTCAAATACTTGGGGTTGCCTATCTTCTACAGAAAACTGAGGTCGACAAACTTTCAACCTCTTATCCAAAAAATTACTTATGCTCTTGATGGTTGGAAAGCTCAGGTGCTCTCCTTTGCTAGCAGGATTCAATTTATTAGTTTTACCATTAGCAATACTCTAGCATACTGGATAATGGGCTCTATTTTACCAAAAAGCTATTGCAAAATCATTAACCGTCTATGCTCTAGATTCCTTTTCTTTGGAAATATTAAGATAAGAAAATTACACACTATTACGTGGAAGGATACTTATAAGCCCAAAATCTACGGAGGTCTAAGCATCCCCTCCATAGATTCTCTTTACCATGCTTTCTCTACCACTCTTATTTGGAGATTTCTCAGCACCAATAACCTGCTTTTTTATTGTTGGCGACACAATTATCATTCTCTCTGGTATAATCAAAATCTCCATGGCTCCCCTTATTGGAAACTTATGTGTAATACAACATGTTCTGTTAGGAATTGTATCTCCCTTATTGTTCAACCTAACAACAACCTCTCTTTTCTCTGGGACCCCTGGTGTAGCAGTCAATCCATTGCTAAGCTAGTGGGTGGTGTTTCCTCTACTCACGGGCTCTATGCCCTTAAGTTCTGGAATGTTTCTAAGCTATAGTTGGTTATAATTGGTCTCTACTAGACTGTCTGGGTAATGATATTTAGACTAAAGTCCTGGGCATATATATTAAGCAGCATCCCACACCTCACTCCTGGCTAGGTTCTGTGCAACCAATTTTTAAAAAATTTCACTTGCAATATTTCTCCCATCTGGAGGTCGTTACTTGGCACAAATTTGTCTGGTTTAAGAAATCTACATTGTATTTTTATGCTTATGCATGACTAGCTTTTAAAGCTAGATTAAAAGCAACAGATATTATTGCTTCTCTTGGGATTACAACTGCCAACCTCTGCTGTTTTTTATTTTTTTGAGCTTGAATCTCACTCCCACCTTTTCTTTGAATGTAATTTCTCATTTAGCATAATTAAAGCTTTTCTCCCTTGACTGGGTGCTTTCCTACTTAGGCTGAACCTTCACATGATATTTGGTAGTATTTTTGAGCAAGGCATCCTTGTTGGCTAGATTAAATATTATATGTTATGTGCTTATGTCGTTATCTATCACCTCTGGAGAGCTATAAATGATTGTATTTTTGGGGGCAATTTTGAGTGCCTTGCCACTGTGACCGTAAAGACTAAAAAGGCTATCTAGTGTAAAATTAACACATGGAAGAATTTTCATATGGCATATTTGTGGAATTAGTTGTTTTAGCCCCCTTGGCTGTTATCCAACCCTGTTGCTACATCGTGGCCTCTTTAGATTTTTCAATCGTGGCTTTCTTTTGGGATGGAAATATTTTTTGGAAGGACAATGAATGCTAGTCTCCTCCAGTTGCCCCTTGGAAGGTCTTCTGGGCAACCTGGGGCCCTGCTACTTGCGATTTGACAATTTTGAAGCTACTCCGATGAATCTTTTTAAGCATCCTAAGTCCTTTTTTTGACATTGACCCTTGTAATCTTTTTTGTTTTTGGTTCTCTTTTGAGTTTGTATTTTGTTTGGACCCCTTAACTTAGTTTTTTCCATTTTACACTTGTAATTTGTTCTTTTTACATCAATGATACGGGCTTTGCCCTCCAAAATTCCCCAAAAAAAACCTTGGGCTTTTATTAATTGTCACTTACAAGCTTTTATTAAATGTCTAAGTAAAGTTTTGCAGTATTTAAACTGAATAGAGAAATTTTTTATTAATACTATATTTTTTATTAAATATGAAGCTAATCGAGCAGAGCAGGCTAGCTGACGAGTCGACTCTTATTAAGCTCGAACTCGAGCTTGTTTAATATTAGAGCTTGAGTTTGAGCTTCAGTTCTAGCTCGATAAGCTCGACTCGCGAGCTCGTTATCAACTCATGTTCGGGCTGGCTCAACTCACTTACACCCCTAGTAGTTCCACCTAAGTGCTAATTAGCACAAGCATTGAATTGTCAAAGCCTTTGATGTAATTGTGCATATTTATGTACACAAAATATTATATATATTTTTTGGGTGGATGCAACAACTTGAAATTTAACATTATTTTTTATGGAGCACCACATAAGCATAAGTTATAGAATTTTTTTCTTGAAAAATGCATTCATTCCAATATTTCATCAAGACTCTCAACTGCATGAGCTGTCCTTGGTTTCTCCATAGCTTCATCAAAATTTAGCTTATTATTCCATTCTCCATCATTCATGCACGTACCCATAAATGCATTCATATTAACCATTCTATCAGCAGTGAATGTAGTCCTCGCATAGTAATCCCTTTTGAGGTCACTCATTACACACAAACCTTAAACACAACCCCTCCAAATTCCAAATAAGTATCATTTGGATTATCACTAAACTCGACACTTGTACCTCTACTCATTGTTATATAACCATCAACAATCGTTGGTTCGGGTTGTGAATGATCATTTTGATTTTTCACACATCTACGAGTTTCAATTAACTTGCCCAACACAAACTTCAAATTTATAAATGTATATGACAAATAAATAAAAATGTCTCAAATACTTTACTTACTGTGTGAAGGATCTGCTGATGGATATCTGAACCAGAAAAATTCATTTGTTGCTTAACCCCAAAGTAACATATGTTCTCCTCCGCATCACATGTGATATTATTATCCTCTTTGCATTGAGAAGAGCCAACCTCATCAACCTCCACAATTATACAATAAAAAATTGAGTGGAAGTATATGTTGCATAACAACTTCACAGACATCATCATCATCAATGTCTAACACAATAAACACATCTCCAACGGGAAGCCAACAAACCAATTTACCCTAAACTTTAGTTAAATCTAATTTTAGGGCTCTAACAACTAACAATTTTAGTTGTTATGTGTTTGCTTTCGTTGGTATCTATAGTTGCATGTTTTGCTCACCAAGATATGTTCGAGAAAAGTGCTCATCAATTGTTAATTGACACCCAGATAATAACATCAGCGAAGAAGAGCATCTCGATCGACATCCTTCTTCTTGTAATGAAACTTTAAACTGAAATGAATGCAACTTCAATTAACTGACTTTAGCTATGAATAAGCATATACTAATGTAACATTCATTATTTTTTTTATTATCTTTTACTTATTCATTTCAGCTTCCTTTTAATAATCCTTCATAATTTTATTTAGGGGGGAAAAAAGATAATACATAGAGGATTTTAGTAAATTATTGAAGGTAAATTTGTAAACAAATTAGTGCCTGATAATCAGTTAAAAATAGAATATGAGGAGCAATTCAGTCAAATGTCAGGACAATTTAACTTTGAAGTTAAATATAATTAACATAATTATTACAATAGTTTAACATTAAGGCTTCATTTGTAACAGATTGATATCTTATTTCTTGCAAAAATAAATTTGTAGTACAAAATTTTTTAATTAAAACAAATTATATTAAAAAATAGTTTTAGAAATAAGTAAGAAAGCCCTCCCAAACCAAAACCGTAAATAAACTTAGATCTAATATTTAAACTTTATTTGCATCTAATATTCAATCTAGATCTATATTTTTTATCATACAAATACACTTCAAGATCTACATATCTCAACTACCACATTTTAATTAAATATATTTAATTTATTTTTAAATAAATATTTAAATAAATAAGTAATATTAAATTTATATAAATTTACTAATAAAGTTATGATTTAACAAAAAAGCAAAACACCATAACATTGTAAATAAAAAAAGTGAAAAAGTAAAATTATAATCATTGTTAAGAAAAACCTTATTTAATTTTTTTTTCTTTAGAAAACGTTACTTATTCTAGAAAAAAAATTAATTAAAATCACCTACTAAAAATTGATTTCGATTGAAACTGGTGAATAGAGCACCAATTTCTATAGAAACCGTATAAAGATCTGGTTTCAGAAACCGGATAATGAAATTTTAGATTCTATTAAAACTACAAAATTAAATTTAGTATTTTTTTTGTCTATTATTAACCGAAATGAGCATATATGTGAAAAGGTTGGAGTAGCTCCAGTAGAAGATAAGATTAGAGAGAGTCGTCTTAGATGGTTTGGTCGCATAAAACGGCAGCCTTCCAATGGCCCGGTTAGGAGAGTAGAGATATTAGATTTGATTTATGTTAAGAAAGGTAGAGGTAGATCTAAAAAGACTTGGTTAGAAAATTAATATTAGGAATGACCTTTCTTTATTAGATTTAAACGAGAATTTGATCTTTAATAGAACACAATGGAGAAAAAAGATTCATGTAGACATAGTGGGATAAAGGTTTGATGTTGTTGTATTAATTATTTTTTAAATTAATTTAAATTTAAAACACACTAGTTTTATAAGAAAGAAAAAAAAAAAGAACAAGAGTTTAAAATTTTGTTCTTCTGCAATCCGCTGGCTCCGCAGCGGAGAGTGAGACTGTGCGGCCGGCCCCCACCATGCAGAGTGTCGTGCCAGGTTTATCCACCCTTTGGCGGCCCCAAAACACCCCAAAAACGTGCGATTCCCTCCCACGTGTTCACCCTCCCCGCACTTCACACTTGTCTTCCATCGCCGCGCGTCCTCTGCGCGGTTCACCGCGGCGTTCCCTCCCACTACTTAAGCCCCCGTTCTCTCTCTCTCTTTATCTTCAACTCATAACTCACTCTCTCACAGCTCCTCTCCTCCTCCTCCATGGACTCCTCCGACAGCTTCTCCACCTCCGCTTCCTCCTCATCCGACCACGCGCCCTCCCCTTCTTCCTTCTCCTCTTCGCCTTCCCCCCCTCCCAAGCGCAAGTCCGGCCGCAAGAAATTCCGCGTTACTCGCCACCCCGTCTACCGCGGCGTCCGCGAACGCAACGGCGGCAAATGGGTCTGCGAGGTGCGCGAGCCCCGCACCAAAACGCGCATATGGCTCGGCACCTACTCCGCACCGGAGATGGCCGCCCGAGCACACGACGTCGCGGCGTTAGCCCTTCGCGGAAAATCCGCTTTTTTGAACTTCCCGGACTCCGCCTGGGCTTTGCCCGTGCCGCGTTCGACCCGGCCCGACGATATTCGGCTGGCCGCCGTCAAGGCAGCCGAGATGTACAAAACGCGGCCGGCGGCGTCGACGGTGCTTTCGTCTCTAGCGCCGCCTTCGGTTGCAGTGTTGGACGAGGAGGATGTATTCAATATCCCGGAACTGATGATGGAAATGGCGGCGGGAATGCTGATAACGCCGCCGGGAATGGTGGGGGGATTTGACTGGGATGCGGCGGAGCTGGTGGAGGAGGAAATGCCGTTGTGGCAACATGATTTTTGGAATTAGTTGTAGAGGATTAATGAACACACACAAAAACACACAAAAAAATATAAGGATTTGTGTTGAGATTAGTGCTATCAATGGTTTGCACTAATTTTGATGTAAATTAAAGTGGGTTTTATTAGTCTTAATTTATTTAGGTAATTTTTTTTCTTAATTAGTGATATGCAAAATGAAAGCATTAGATAGAGAAGGAAAATTTTGTGTTATACCATTTCTTGTTATGATTTATTTAAGAATTATTGAATTCATTTTTAGAGTAATGATGTATGCAAATGATTAGAAAAAAAATCTATTAGATATCATAATATAGTGTGTATTATGATGTACTTCAAAATCATTATATTTGCTTTGAGATTAGTACCATATATTTAAAGATTGAAAGGCTTCATCATAGCTGAAAGTGAGTGGCGCATTTGATGATAGCGACCGTTACGATGGCAGTGGCTAATAGGCCAGGGGTGGCGGTGATCGAGCAGCCAACTTGTTGTAAAAAGAAATTCGAACAAAATCATGCAAGTTTATACAACAACAACATCATCATCATCAAGCCTTTGTCCCACTACATGGGGTTAGCTACATTAGTCCTTTTTATCCATTGTGTTCAGTTAAAAGTCATATTCTCATTTACATCTAATAAAGAAAGAGCATTTCTAATGTTTTCTAACTAAGCCTTTTTAGGTCTACATCTACCTTTTTTAACATAAGTCAAATCTAATACCTCTACTTTCTTAACCGGATCATCGGAAGGCCGCCATTTTATGTGACCAAACCATCTAAGGCGACTCTCTCTAATCTTATCTTCCACTAGCTCTACTCCGACCCTTTTACGTATATGCTCATTTCGTATCCTATTTCTAAGGGTAAAGTCACTCATCCACCTAAGCATCCTCATCTCTGCAACAATTAACTTAGTATTATGCTTCTCTTTTAATGGCCAACAAACAAGTTTATAATACTATAATAATGAAATTATGAGTAAAAAAAAGAACTTATTAAAATTTTACATTGCATTCCATTTTCATCATACAAACCCTCTTAAAATTTTGAGTACTTTACATTCTTTTTTCAACAAAACGAACATCATATCAATTATTTTATATTTCAATGCTTAGATTTATTAAGGATGTCAATAAATGGAACAATTATTAGGTCCGGTGATCGGACGTAGCTCTATGTTCGGTCACCACTGAGATTGCGCCATGTGCTCTTACTCTTTAAAGCGCGGCCTGATGACTTGACCCGGACCGGAACCCGGGAATGCTATGTTCGCATATTGCTAGGTATTACTCGGTATTTGCTCGGTAATGCTCGGTATTGCTAGGTATTGCTTGGCAATAACGAGAAATACTGCTCTGTGAAGACTAATACCGAGCAATACTGAGTTTTTTCTAGAAAAACTCGGTATTGCTCGGTATTACTCGGTATTGCTCGGTATTTGTCTTCACATAATTGTATTTCTCGTTATTGCAGAGCAAAATTGACAAATACCTAGCAATACTGAGCAATATCGGGTTGTCATGGATTTAAAAAATGCACGTGCGACATACCCACTATTCGCCAGGTCGGATCCACGGTTTTGTGTCTGCTACGTGGCGCGACCTCAGTGCTGGCTAAACGTAGCTCTACGTCCGTTCACCGGACCAAATAAAAGTTCCAATAAATGACCCAAATTTACAACTCTATCTGAACCTAACTGAAAACATTCAGTTTCAGGTGGTACATTTAATAAATAGGTCTAGTCTGGATCCAAAATTTTAACTCATTAAATTGGCGGGCCGGGTTCAGATTAACACGTGAATTTGATTTGGACCCGATAGTAACTCATTTAATTTCCATTTTTTATAATTTTAATTTTTTTGATATGTACTTATGTTTGATCGATCAACATCAATTTGAATCATATTTGAGTTCCACTTATTAGCTCCTATTCACACCCTTTTGTAGGTAGAATAATTTATTTGATAATTTTGATTTACTTATGTTTGATCGATCAACATCAATTTGAATCATATTTGAGTTCCACTTATTAGCTCCTATTCACACCCTTTTGTAGGTAGAATAATTTATTTGATAATTTTGGGTGGGTCCCACCATGATGTGAGATTCGTCCCTGGCCGAATGGGAGTGGGGACATGGTCGTGTCAATTCTAGCATTATTTTGTGAATTTCGCGTTCAGCTTTTTTATTGGTTCATGAAAAATGTTTTACATTTCATGACCTTTGTCATATATGTTTTTGTTGGTTGTAAAAGATAATTGTATTGATGAGTAATTTTTGAGTTTGTTTCT